GAAAGAAAGAAAGGAAGAAAATGGCCTTCCTTGCTTTTACAAGGAATTAACAAAAGTATAAAAAATCTTATCAGTGAATTTAAGTAATTATTAACCATCCAGTTATTTTGTCTGTAAATGCCAGATAGCCAATTTGTTTAATTTTATAACCAACTTATTTTATGTTTAAAAAACACCAAAACATTCATATTAATCAATGAGTCATGAAAGAATCTTCCCCTCATTTCACTAGTTACCCACTCTTGGGACATCAATTTCATTTATACACACCACAGTTCTTAACATCTTATCAATAATCAATCCTGTATAGTTGGCAGAATCTTGATATGGTCAAGGTCAATCTTTTGAAAATTCAAATATAAAATGGTTTAAAATATCTTTTCAGTATTTTGTTATTATAAAAGAAACAACTCATTATGATACTTTTCTTCCTTTGCTGAAGATACAGTATTGCCTTATTTCAGAATATTGTTTGAATTTTAATACAAAACTTTAGAACACCACGTTAAACAGTCTATTTTTTTTTCTTTTTTACTTTTGTAGCTTAATGTTAGCCGGTCTTAGGAAATTATTATCAAAAAAGATCCATGCTTTTATATATTATTTCATAACCATTTCCACTAGAGCATACTTCATTTCAATAGTAGGATAGCATGAATCCAGGAATATCTCATTTTGTTGAAGGCAGCAGTGAAAAAGTTAATTCATAGCTGCATTTATGAGTGAGTTTTATTTATACATGACCTGTGGTAAAAGATTTATCTGTCCATTATTAAGCTCTTTCTCTGAGTGTCAAGAAGTCATAGTAGTATAAAATCAATTAATGCAGATATAAAAGTAGTTTTGTTTGAGTAAAGTTTGAAATTAAAAATAGGGCAGTAAGTTAAAAATCTGAGTTAATACTTGGAACCACCAGATGGAACAGAAAAGAAGGGGATTGGAGGAGAGAGGGAGAGTGAGAGGAGGAAAGGGAGAGGAGAGGCGAGGAGGGGAGGGGGGAAAGAAGAGAGGGAGAGAAGGACTGAGATTGATTTGGAGATCGGTCAAGCGTCACATCACCAATTTTTTACATTCTGGTATACAAATATTTAAAAGATGTGGACAACAAGAAACCTGATCCGTTTTCCCTTACTTTAAAGCCCCAAGTGATAAGATCTTTGAAAAAGTCTAGGTACAGCAGGAGAATTATTTAAAAGCCATGCGGCAGGGTGCGAACTAAGAGCATTCTTCAAACAAACGCGACCTTTTCTGTTTCGTGTACTCCTCTCCTCAACCCATCCAGAAAACCCAGACAAGTTTATTTACACACACACACCCGCACACGCTCCCCCCACCCCCCCGCACGCGCGCACACACACACACACACACACACACACACACGCGCACACGCCGAGAGAGAGCGGCGGAAACGCCCTCTTTCCATCCCTTCCAAGCAATTATCTCCGAGAGCAAAAGAAAATAATCAACGGCCCTCGGTGCTGGGCGTCTGAGCCGGAGAGCCGGGCGCCGGGAGGGAGGGCGAACGGCAGGCGAGCAGGGAAACGTGGCTCCTCCGCCGAGGAGAGGATTTGTGAAGGGGAGCGCCGGCCCGCGTGCGCCTCTTGTTCCCCGTGTAATTTGCAGCCAATCATCAGTAGGTGTCCACGTCCCTGCGTCCTCCTCACCTCGGCGCCAATCACCCCCCGCCCCGCCCCCGCCCCAGCCTCCACACCTCCTCCCTCGCCTTTCTCTCGCGCTCCCCTCCCCCAGCAACCACACACACGCACACACACAAACAGAGAGGGAAGGGGGGAGGGTGAGAGAGAGGGAGAGAGAGAGAGGGGAGAGAGGCTCCCCGGCTCCCTCCCTCCCTCGCACACAGCGACTGGAGACGGACGGAGAGCAACGCGCTGGGAGAGGAGAGACCACCGAGAACAGCCCCGCGCTCTCACACATACACTCACACTCGGCTCTTTCCTCTCCCCCCACCTCCTCCTCCTTCCACCCCCACCACTAACACCATCTCCTCCTCCTTCTCTCTGCAACAAGAAAAAAAAAAGCCATTTACAGGTATTTTTTTTTTGATCCGCATATTTATTTATCCCCCCCCCCAACAGTTTGTTTACAAGTATTAAAGTTGTAATTGGGAGCTGCCAAGACACATCTGGATTTGTGTTTCTTTGTGTTAGGGGGTGATGTGCAACTAATTAAAGGCAGACTAGCAGCGTCTGCAAATTCTAAGGCTCCCCAAATAAAAAGAGACTGGTAAGTGATTGTTCTTTCTCTTTCTCTGGCTTTTTTTCTCTTAAATGTTTGCTGTCCGTTGGGATTGTAAAAGTAGATTATTAATGCTGGAGTCCAGCAATAAAAGGCTTCGCTGTATTAATTTATTAATTAATCTGCACCCGCCCCTCCTCCTGAATGTTAAATATGACCTTTGATCTCTATGTCTCTGGTAGACCAGACATACAATATTAGGCATGGACAGTCACATTGTTTAAAGGCAAAACAGGATCATGAAGTACGGTTGTCTAATTTAGCTTTGGAATAGGACTATAGTTATTTGTGTGTGTTTTATTTTGTTTTTTAAAGAAAATCCAAACAATAGCTGTGGCTTAGGTACCTTTTTCATGCTCCAGAGATGCATTGATTAAACAATAATGACCTGGATACTGGGCACAATCATTTTCTACAGTTTCTGGTGGCATTAAACCTTGAGGGAGGGAGGGGGAGGTGATGGCAATAGGAAAAGCAAGGAAAGCTTGTGTTTGGAAACAGCCCTCTAATACTCTGGAAAAGGGACATTAAATTATTTCTTTATTTGGAACAAGGTCAAAAGACTAAAATACTGAATTTTTTCCCTTCACTCAATGTGATAGCTAATGCATGGTTGGCATAACTAGTTTTTACTGAGTAGCAGTTATTATGGTCTTGCAGTTACAATGTGATTCGCAGAAACTGAAGCTATATGCATCATCTTGCTGTGTCTTCCCCTACCCCCTTCCAAGCATCAAGAATATTTAGCCAGGAGCATTTGGGGGGCACCCTTTGTATTGCCATCAGACCTCTGAAGGGAGCAGTTTTCCCTAATGTGAAACCACAGAGGTGGTTCCTGAGTGATTAGGGGCTTTTGCTGTGATTGAAAGATGCCTACTAGCTTCTAATCCAGCCTGGGGTGAGGTTCCTTATCTTGATTTACTTTGCCTAATAGGGATTTGTTTACGTAAACCCCTCTTTTTAGGGCACCTCATCAGCAGGTCTTGAAGTTTTTGCACTTGGAGTTTGGGCATAAATGGTTCATTAATCTAATTATAACCATAATTACTATAATTGATATCCATTTTGAACTGAATATTTGAGACTACTGGGCCCCCATTTAGAATTCCCTGAACTCCACATTCCAGGCCAATATGTGGGCTTCAGAAGATGTCACCAAAAGATATTCTGCTCCCCCCCCCAAAATCTGGAAACAAAGAAACTGGGTTTTTTAGGTTAATATACACTTTATGTCTTTGCATTACTTCTTCAAGGGCTGAGACGTACCTCTTCCTCTGTGATAAACAACTAAAATATCTCTTCCTAAAGCATAATAATGGCCTATAAGCAAAGAGATGAATGCAAATACCCAGTTAACATTAAACTTTCCTTTTAAAAAGAGCAAAAGAAAAAAAATCTTTTTAAAGGTTATTTCTTCAGGTAAACACCACCTTAAGAGATCTCCCTTCCTCCCCCCCCCCATCTTTTACTCAATGTAAAAAGCAGTGAGTATGAGAGATTCTTAAAAAAAAAAAAAAAAAAAAAAAAAAAAAAAAAAGTCCCATGCTTTCCTCTTGTCTTGGGAAGAGACAGGAGTCTCCATTTGGAATTATTGGGAATATTCTTACAGAGGCTGCAGGCAGTTGGTTTAAAACCTGTGACATTGTTTGTATTATTTTTAAAAATTTGTATCTAGTCCGTCTTTCTTTTCTTTCTTTCGTTCTTTCTTTCTTTTAAACAAGTAGAACACCACCCTCTTACCCCCACCAAGCCCCACCACCAAATGGCTTGTACAATTGAGACCTGTCCTTGGTCCATTGAATTAAGACCCTAACAGAGCCAGCTGTGCTGGGATTCAAACTAATGACCGCAGACACAGAAGGACACTGTGGCAGCTGGTAGTTCTTTTTTCCCTGCCTCTTTAGTTCGGATTGTATGTGGGCAGTCTCTCAGCTCTCAGTTGTATTGTGTTTGCTTACAGTTTATACTCGGATGTATTGTAGACTTTCTCAGTACTTCATTTGCTAATTTCCTGTTCATTTTCCTCATAGGGCCATTGCTGTTTTCTACTTTACAGCATTTGCATGCCCAGGCAGCACTTGTTCACACATTTCATAATGTTTAAATGCCCTCTGCTTATAGGTAGTATCGCCCTCCCACCCCTGATTTGCATGTCTTTAGCACTCCAATTGCCCTTTTCCCTCGGCATTTGTCACCCCCGTCTTTCCTCTTTCCCTGGGTATCCTGGCTATTAATACATTTTCTCTGGAGGGTTATGAGAATAGGGGGGAGGAGCTGCGGTGTGCTGTGGGGTGGGAGGGAGTGGGTTGGGAGCGTGTGTGGGGGGGTGGGCGGGAATCGGGGTCACGTCTTGATGATTGTCATGCAAACGACCTGACGAAGAATGCGGGAGCTCTCAGTGTCTGCGGTGGGGTGGTGAGGGAGGCTGTTTATTTATTTTTAATCTTTTTCCTCGTGCAGCTCGTTGGAATGACTTTCTTTATTTTAGTTGTAACAGTTGGAGGATAATGCTAAGGAAGACGCTGCCTGGGAATTCACCGTCTGTGGAAATGCGCCCCAGAGAGGAATAAAGCAGTCCTCACCTTGCTCTCCCCATCCGGACCCACTTTCCCCTCCCGCCTCGGCCCCCACCCCGACACCACCATCACCCCCTTCCCTCCCCCCACCTCCCCCCCTTTCCCACCCAGGTGTCGGACCAGGCGGTCCCCACTTCCACCCTGCACCCCTTCTTCCCCCCCTGCACCATGAACACCAATGTCTGCGTGGAGCCCGGGCCGAGCCCGGAGGCCCCGGGCTTGCCCAAGGAAAGCCACCTGCCCGGAGGGGCCCCTGAACAGCCTTGTGGATTACAACTCGGAGATGGAGCGCTGCCCTTTGCCACCTCCTTCTACAAGACCAACGGGGGCGCCTTCCCGCAGGCCATACATCGCGCTACCACCCCATCTTCCCAGCAGCTGCCGCCGCGCCGCGCGCATCTTCGCATCGGCATGTCCCCCTGGAACTGCGTGACACCGTGAACAGCGGCCACCGCCGCCACCGCCATGCTCTGGGGCAGCGGCGGGGCGGGGCGGCGGCGGCATGGCGGCGGCGGGGCGGTGGCGGGGCGGCGGGGCGGCAGGAAATCCTCCTCCGCCGCCGCCTCCTCCTCCGCCTCCTCGGCAATCCTCCCCGCCGGCGGCGGTGGCGGCGGCGGCGGCGGCGGCGGCGGTGGCGGCGGCGGCGGCGGCGGCAGCAGGACCAGCATGCACCACCGAAACGACTCCCAGAGGCTGGGGAAAGCTGGCTGCCCGCCAGAGCCGTCGTTGCAAATGGCAAATACTAATTTCCTCTCCACCTTATCCCCTGAACACTGCAGACCTTTGGCGGGGGAATGCATGAACAAGCTCAAATGCGGCGCTGCTGAAGCAGAGATAATGAATCTCCCCGAGCGCGTGGGGACTTTTTCCGCTATCCCGGCTTTAGGGGGCATCTCATTACCTCCAGGGGTCATCGTCATGACAGCCCTTCACTCCCCCGCAGCAGCCTCAGCAGCCGTCACAGACAGTGCGTTTCAAATTGCCAATCTGGCAGACTGCCCGCAGAATCATTCCTCCTCCTCCTCGTCCTCCTCAGGGGGAGCTAGCGGAGCCAACCCGGCCAAGAAGAAGAGGAAAAGGTGTGGGGTCTGCGTGCCCTGCAAGAGGCTCATCAACTGTGGCGTCTGCAGCAGTTGCAGGAACCGCAAAACGGGACACCAGATCTGCAAATTTAGAAAATGTGAAGAGCTAAAGAAAAAACCTGGCACTTCACTAGAGGTCAGAGGAGATGATTTCTTGTTTCCCAGTCTCCCCCCTTCCCTCCTCACTCCCCTCTCTTCTCCCCTTCAGGGCTTCTTGTCTGGCTTGAAGATGCAGTACCCCTTTCCTGAAGCTTCCTTCAGGTTGTAAGATACAGTCGCAGGTGGTTGCGAGGGCACGGCCTCTCCACCACCCTCCCCAGATGCACTTCGCGTGGAACTGGCCTCCAGATGGGGGGGGGGTGCGCCCCTCCTTTTTATCTGTGGTGGTAAACTAATGTAATTGGTTTAAAAAAATCAGAAGTTTCACATTCAGTATGGTCAAAAATGCCCCCTCCCTCTTAGTATTAGTTTTAAAAGCATCTCTGCCCAAAGGATTGGACACTTCGCGTTTTATATACTTTTATAGGCTAAGGGAGACTTCTTAGTGGCCCAGTTATAACAGTGAGGGCACACTTTGTGGCACAAAAGCCTATAGTTCCATTAAAACACAATCGGAGTGATCATTGAAGCTGAAATACATGCTTTCAAAAGGGTGTTCTACCCCCTTCTAGAATAGTTTTTTTTTTTTTTTCTCTCCACCGTGATAAAAAACGTTTCTATTTTCCATTTTCTGCATATCTGGTGTTTTTTTGAGAAAGCAGAAATAATATGGAAAGCTGAACACCACCTGCAATTTTTAAGAAGGATGTGTCTAAGAATAAAGGGACGAAATTAGTTCAGTTCGGGCAGGTGATGGTAATTCTATTTAAGAATTGTTTCATGTAGTTTCAGAAACAAATGATTCCAAAAAAATTTGGTTACCAAAGTATATTTACTCTGGGCTCTGCATCTGACAAAGTAACCATTTTTGTGGTCACAAAATTGTTCTATACACCAAGCACAGTTTCGATTGATACCCTAGATGGTCAATAATAGTTTCTTTTTCCTATATGACCTTACAACAGGCATGTACTGATTACCACTAAAGTAATTGTTAAATTAGGCTTTTAATTATGTTAAATACAAGGAGTGATGTGTCTGGTGGAAATTTCATATGGTAACTTGATCAAAACAAAAGGGAAAAAATGTACAATCGTAGGTAAATGGTTTTAGTGGAATGTTTAACAAAGAAATATGGAAAAGTAATCGTATTTAGTCCCTTGATAAAATTTGCAGAGTAGATGGCAGGATGTTCATATATACTTGAGAATGTAGATGGTGGATTTAACATTTGGGAATGTTCTATGGGTCAGATTATAGAGTGAGACTGGCTCTCACAAGTTATTATCAGAGGGCACTTGCCCATTCTTTTTAAAAATTGCGAGCACTGCTTCAAGGAGTTTTCTCCATGAAGGAGAACCTCTTTAAAAGGTTAAAAGAGGAAAGTTAAAGAATTCTGTTGCAGGTTTGAACACAAATAAGATACAGATTTTTTTTTTAAGTTTTATTAATATACAAAGCAAATGGCACTTTGGGATTCCAAAAAAAACCACAGTGTTGTATTGCTATCATTATTGATTGTGATCAGGTCCATCAAAACATTGCACTTATCCCTCCTTATAAGAGAATTCATCTCTTTGTCAAGAGTTTGACTTTACTTCAGAGTGGTTTACTACATTTCCTTTGGCAACGCTGCTTAAACAAAGATAATAGCAATTATAAAAATGCAGGTCTATCTATTTTCTTAGGTGGCAAAAACTAGTTTTTAGTTCTTGAATTGTGTTTTTCTGGATTAATTTATTGCAACTTACCTCTAGTCTCTAAGGCCTATGGGAATTAAAATTCAGTTCATGATAAAATTTCCTGTTAATGCCCAGTTGATAAGGACTAGATGGCTTTATTTTTCCTCTTTAACTATATGCTATGTAGCATAATAGATTTCATGTTGCAAGTAGGCTACACCTTCAGCTAGACCCATGGCCCAGCCTGCATCCCAATTTAGAGTATGCAGTGGGTAGGGCCACTGAATAATTCTGATTTACTTAGTAAATAACCGCTCTGAAGGAGCTTAATGTGGCTATCAATAGGTTTTCTGCACAAGTTTCTATGCTGATTTATCAGTCTAGACAAATTTCATAAATTTTTTTCCATTTTTTTCTCATTTGGGTAGTTTTCCCACAGACTTGTTGTGATGTTTAAATTCCTTAGACATTTTGATCACAGATGATCCCATAGTACTACCTTTTCTTTTAAATCCACGTGCACAAAAGTTCTGTTGATCTTCAGAAAATGGGGTGTGGGTGAGAAGGGAAACAAATTTCAGTCTTCATAGAGCTCTCTGAAGATGTTTTCCTAACTACATACTCCTTCCTACAAGAAGGTCATGGTTCAAGGCTAAGATTGTTAGTGGAATGCTATTTGGCAGAAAGAAAAAGTTTGGGGGAGGGGTTTTGTTTTGTTTTTTAATTGGCTAAGACTCTATCTAGCTTATTTTAAAAAGGCAATGGCAGCCTTAAGCACATGTGTAACCACACAGTTATGGTTGTAGGAAACCAGCTGGATGCATGTCAGAGTGACAGGGTTTACATGACTGAACCAAAGCTGGAGCAGTGTTTGCTGGTGGGTGAAAAGTCCCCTGCTGACCTGCTTCCCTCTCTAATTTGGTTCCTGTAAGTTATCATCATCTGTGGAGATGTTTTAGAGATTGGATAGACTCCCTGGCTGAGGATAATGATTTGGGGTTTCATTATGGGTATTACCTGTGGACTTCAGGTTTAAGTTCAGTAGCTAATATTTGTTGGCTTTAAATTATGGACACCAATTAATAATTGCATCATAATCATTAGTTTTTTTCTTATTTATCATTTCAAACCTCATGAGTCCTTCTTTCCATTGACTTATTCTCCTCCCAAAGACTGGAGGCTTAATCAGATTTTCAGGGTGAGTAAACTGAAATTAAGACAGATTCACATGGATGTTTTGGGATTCTTGCCCACATTTTTTAAAGCCTCCTCTCTGGCATTCCTTTTAGAACAACCTAACTTATTTTCACATTTTCCTGCTTCATCTCATGTTAAGAGCATCTTGATGCCTTGGAAATATGTTTATAAAATCACCCTCTTGATAATATTCCATAAGATAACAATGCACATAAAACAAATTTAGTTTTTCTGTGATACTGTGTATTTGCATAGAACACTGTTCATTTAGTCAATTACTGTATTAAAAACTTGTCACTAATTATTCAAAGCAGTTATTACAAATACTATATGCCCTTTTTGCAACAAAACTTACCTTAAAAACTTGCATCCTAAATGATCAATATTAAATTGAGAGATTTTAATAAACATGTGATTATGCATTATGATAATAAGTTACATAATAGCACTTTCTCTCATGGAAAGGTAATCAATCCTTCAGTTTTCAGATTCACAGTAGTTACATTTCTGATATGAAGATCTAACTTTTTAAAATATCTCAGCCTCATATGACTCAAGGGATAGAATCATCCCTTGGGCAACCCTAGCCTCTTAGTCCCTGAACATTGTTCAGGTGACATGATTGATCTCTGTGGGACAGCATTAGAGACCACACAGATCTGGTTTCTCTCCCATTAGCTGATTTATGGAATTACATTAGTAAGCAGCACCTCAGGAGATTTCCCTGCCCCCACCCTTGGCTCTCAGCTCTAAGTTACACACTGGCATCACAAGCTGGAGAAGGGACTTGAAAAGGGTACCTTAGAGGGAAGAGACTGAGAAACTAGAAACTCAAGAAAAAGAACAATTTCAATCACTTTCTTCTCTTTTCTCTCATTAAAAAATTTATCTGCTGAAGATACAGGCCAACAATTTTGGTTGTGCTTCTCAGGAGTTTGGTGGAAAACATCCAAATATTGCCCCAAACTTGATAACTTGATTTTTTTGAGGAGTGTTTTAGGGGAGGAGGGACATGTTTCTTTATATATGCTATTAAGTTCTGAGAGCCCCAGCCACCCAAATGACAATTGTAGAATTCTGGACAAAGCATTGTCTGCAAGGGAGATGGTTCCTGTTTCCCAAAGAAATTCATTTGTAGACCATGTATAAAATAGGGTGTCCTTCACACTCAGCATCTGTCTAGTTAAATAATTGACCATGTTAATAAGTTTTTGAAGTTTGGTGACTTTTACATAAAAAATTTATGGGTAAATACGGATGTTTCCTATCTTAAAGTGAAACATCCACCAGTTTGTCATTTTATATCATAATTTAAAAATGAGTTCTCAATTTTCAGTTTCAAAAATCAAAAACGTGCCAGTTTATAAAAGCGTGAATTTTTGTTTTACTCTCAAAATGCGAATATATAACTATCAAGGGAAAGAGGAAAGTTTTCAATCAACTTAAACAAAATGATAGGATATTAACAGGTGTGTAATATAGAAATAATGTAGGAAAACAATCCTGAATTTCATAAGTGATAAGAAAAAAGTTCAGAAAAGTTTAACTTTGACTAAAGTCAACTAGATTTGTGGTCAAGGCATCATACTGTAATACAAGTCCAGTGCGATTTTCCTTCTATCACTAGATTTAGTGCAAAGTGGTCCAAAGTTGTTTTTAAAAGGACCATACATTTTCAATAATTCCTAAATGAAAATAATACCCCCACCCATCCAAATATCATGAAACTTCTAAGCAATCTTTGGCATGGCAATTAGGAATAGTAAAATAAAAATAATTAAAATTCATATTTAAGGTATCCTGTAGGAATGTTTGGGTGAAATTCAACTGTCCTCAAACAAAATACAAACCAATAAGCAACCAGAAAGCCAATCAGAACAAATCAGTAAAAACGACAACAAATTTTAGACTAACCAGATAAAAATATTGGACATTTTAAATAAGAATGAAGAGTGTATCTATTGATTAGGAAAATAAACAAAAGTTACTTGATTCCTAAACTTTTTGATGAGCTGATTACAGAAACAGTGCTGTATATTTTGGTTAGCCTTAGTCAGCTGTTTTCCTGGGTGAATAGTTAGGAGTTTTGTATAGTCAGACTTACAGAATGATATTAACAGAGTAAATTTAAAAAAAAATCGTCTGTCCACTAAAAATGGAAAGGAGTGCAAACAGGTGGGCATTTCATCCATATTTGCTCTAGTTTGCCAGGTTGGAGACCGATGATCTATATGGGAGTGACCCTGGAAACCCTGTAGGGTATTCCTTCTGGATTCACAAGTAATATAAA